GGAATCATTCATCTAATCTCTACCAATCCAATGTCTCAGCAGGGCACAGTGAAGGTCCTCTGTGTTCACTATGCTGAGAAGCTTGTGAATTACTCACTAGAATTTCTTTCCCAGCAATGGTTGTCATATTGAACTTGTGGCCAGTGAGCACTTGTCCGCTACAGGAAGGAGGAAGGCTGAACAGCAGGCCTAGCACAGCAGCAGGGAGCTTCACTTATGCTCTCCAACAGGTGCAAAATTGCCTGTCTCAATAGCTGTGACTGGTATGTGTGGCTATGCTCTGTTACTGAAGAGCAATTACCCTGTTTCTTGGATTTTCCAGATGCTTACTTCTTTTATTTTCCAGATGCTTACTTCTTTTAATAGGTTGCCTTGAGCAAACTGTATGGATCTGAACAACAGTTCAGTCCCCTCAGCTGCGAGCACGGGCAAATGTGCTGGAAAATGGGACACAAGAGTACCTGTCTCATAGCGTTGGTAGAAAGATGCAGACAATCAGAACAGAGCCTGGGACAGGGTGAATGCTTGGTGCAGCTGGCATCATTGTTACTAGAGCAATGCACTTTTGTTTGTGCCACTAGTCTGAGCCTGGTGACTATGCGAGGAATTCGAGAAGCTTGTGGTCATAAGACTCTGATCAATGCAGGTCTTTTCTGCTTCAATTACCACTGCATAGGTTTGTTTTCTTCCCTCCTACATTCTCAGGAGACATCCTCATCCCTCCCCTTGTTAGCTCTAGTACCAGGACTTCAAGCCCCCAGCCTCCTTTTTTGTTTCTAGCATGTAAGCAATAATAGTAAGAAACACAGACCTCAAAACGACTTCTGAACTGGTTTTCTTATCTTTATTTCAGACAGTGAAGCCATGTAGCCACCTGCCTATCTACATGACTGTCATTATTAACTGCACAGTGAGAGGATACTTTGAATGTCAAGGACGTATTTGATTATAAAAGGGAAAACTTTTAGAAAGCCACTTTCATTTTCAAAAGATGGTCTGCTTTTAAGGGCCTCAGTGGTGATAGAGTTGCCTGTAACCCTAGGTACAGAAGGCACCATTCTTGTGAAACAGTATGGAAAGCACTTATTTGTCAAATTAAAAATAAAAATGTTTTGTATAGACATTTCCTCAGAAACCATAGCTTTTGAGTTTTCTCGTATATCTATTAAGAATGCTGGGCTGGGGATTTAGCTCAGTGGCACTGTGCCTGCCTTGTAAGCACGAGGTCCTGAGTTTGATCCCTGGTACTGCAAAAAAAAAAAAAGAATGCTAAAAGCAATTTCAAAATATTGAATTTTAAGCAACTGAATAAAGGAGCTGAAAATTCAATTTGATTATCCCTGTTTTAGAATCACATTCCAGGACCTGTATGTCCTTCGTTATTCCACTCCTTAAATGGTAAATATCATACAAGTTGTGAGAACTCTGGTATTTTTAAAGAAATAGTGCCAGATGAAAATGAGTGCTCTAGGGATAAAACTGATGTAGATAACTTGTGGACTACAAAGTGATTCCTATCAATGCCCTTTGGATATAAGCACAAAGCCCCAAACATTGGGCAATACTGATCAGCCAACCAAAAGATGTTAGGTACAAAGTACTCAGATAAGCACTTCTAGTTCAAATACCTTGCATCTCTGGGGGTCGTAAGCCTACCTACTTACCGCTCTACAGTTTTTAAAATGCTTTTTCCCCCTCATATTCTTATTTTAAAATAAGAAAAATTAATTAACTTGGCCATGATCACAAATGCCATACCACAATTTTGATCTTTTTTTTTGGTATCGGAGATCAAACTCGGGACCTTGTGCTTGGGAGGCAGGCACCAGAACCACTGAGCTAAATCCTCAGCCTTGATCTTTTAATTACTGATTATGGCATCACAATTTTTTTTGGTACCAGGAATCGAAATCAGGACCTTGTGCTTGTCAGGCAGGTGCAGCACCACTGAGCTAAAACCCAGGCCCTGTTGTATCAATACTGCACAGTTTTTGTTTGTTTGTTTGTTTTGGTACTGGGGATTGAACTCAAGACCTCGGGCTTATGAGGCAGGTGCGGTGCCACTGAGTGAAATCCCTGGCTCTTTTTTTTTTTTCTTTTTTGAGACAGGGTCTTGCCATGTTGTTCAGGCTGGTCTGGAACTCAAAGAGATCCTCCTGCCTCAGCCTCCAAAGTGCTGAGATTACAGGAATGTGCCATCACATCTGGCTGCACACTGCCTTTCTAAGGAGACTTATGATACTAATTCACAAAAAAATCAAAATTAAATAATGAAAAATAGGCAGAGCATTTTTTCTCAGTGATGGAGCACTAGCTTGCCTAGCATTCAGGAAACCTGGGGTTCACTCCCTAGCAATGCAATAAAAATATATTAGCATACTTCTCATTCCTCATCAGTCCTCGACTGATTTCACTATGCTTCTAGAGCACAGGTCAACAAAAAAGTTTCATTCTTAGTGCTTTCTGTTAAAAAAAATGAAATACTTGAATTTAGAAAGAGTTCTAATTAAATGATCTGAATATGAAAACTAAGTATTTCATTGGAGCCAGGCAAAGGTGGCACAAGACCACAAGCTCAGATACTTAGGCAGCTGAGGCAGGAGAATTACAATTTCAAGGTTACCTTGGGCAACTCAGCCAAGATCTTGTCTTAAAATAAAAAATTAAAGAGTTGGGGACATAGCTCACTGCAAAGGGCCTGGGTCCAATCCCCAGTATCACAAAGAAAAAAACAAAACAAAATAAAATCCTTTCAATGCACTGAGATAGTAAAAATGTTTCCTAGTTTTACCACTGGGCTCTGAATAAATATTGCATGCATAGTGGAGTGAGCACAGGTACTCATGTCCTTGCCTGAACAGTTAACATTCACCCCAAGACCTGGCATCTAGTTCTATTATCCAATCCTGGAGCATTGTTTAAACCTGAACTGCAGCTCCTCACTGTCAGCTGTTCAAAAACAAATTTGGGGTGGTGGTGTTTAAGACAGGATCTCACTATGTAGCTCAGACTGGTCTTGAACTCACAATGTAGTCCAGGCTGTTTCTGAACTCAGAGCAATCCTCCTGCCTCAGCCTCCAGAGTGCTGAGATTACAGACCAATGCTATCATGCCAGGCCTGTGTTCAAATATTTAAAAACTTTGTTTTCTTTGGTACATATTTTTGCAGCACTATGGTTTCTTATAGGTTTAATTTTCATTTAAAATGCAAAATTAAAATGTTGCATATATTTTAAAAATCAGGATTTGAAATAAAGATATTTTGAAAGATATGCCGGGTGTTGTTATAAGTGCTGAGATATAACAGTGAACAAAGTAGGTGAGGTCTCTGCTCTCATGTAACTTATTTTAAGGGAAAAGAATTTCACCAAGCGCTTCAGAGCTTAAGGCCAACCAGCCAAACCCATAAAACAAAAGGGACTGTTTTAAGATTACTGGGCCAGGATTTAGCTAGTGGCACTGTCCCTGCCTTGCAAGCGCAAGGTCCTGAGTTTGATCCCCAGTACTGGAAAAAAAAATTACTATTATAAAAAAAAGATTACTACTATAATGTTGAAATGGTCCATATTTTTTGGGTTTCTTTTTGTTCTCCCAATTTGCTGCATAAATAATGGCTTCCTGATCCTGACCTACTAGGTAGCTAGGCTTAAAGAGCACTTGCTTCCAGTGCACCAAGAAGGAGCCAAATCAGTAGGAGAAAGTGTGAAAGGCAGGGCTGACGGGTACTGCCAGGAGTGTGAGGCCTTGGAAAGGACAAACTGTTCTGTTGGATTAGACCTCATACCACACTCAAATGCAAGGCCAAAGGACGTATGAAAGGCCAGGCAAGGCTCTGCTCCTGGTAGCTATATCAGCCAGGGCTGGTTTTAAGACTGGGCTCCTCATTGGGTAGTATTTAAGGAGACGGCCCCAAATTGGCTTCCTGAGTGAATTAATCGCCTGACTCGGGTCTCTGCTAATAAATTACCAGTTCGTTCGATGCTGCAACTTTCTCTCTGGACTACATATCAGCCCGAAAATTACATATTTGTCATTATTTGAAGCCCTTCCCTATGTCTTGTTCACCACTGCATCGCCAGCATGTGGTCCAGTGCCTGGCACGGAGAAACTGGGGTTACGAAATAGTTACTAGTTACGGCATGAAAGAAAAGAGCAAGGAGGAGAGGAAGATTGATTGCTTCCGTGTGACAGGATCTTCTAACTCTTAAAAACTAAGGAGGCGCACTAGGCCTCAAGCACTTCCCATCTAAAAGCCAAACGGGCCCAGGAGTTACCGGGAATTCAGGCTGTGGCAAAGACAGGAGGATGTCGCTGCCAAGGTCACAGGATGCAAAAAGGAAAGCCGGGTCCGGGCGCTGGCACCCCGGAAACCAACCCTCCAGGACGTTTCTGTACCCTCGCTAAACAAGCCGCAGCCACCCTCCGCCCTGCCAAGCCCAACCCCCTGGTACCCAAGGAGGCCCCGACAAGTGCGCCGGGTGCCCCCCAGGGCAGCCCGTCAAGGACAAGGGCGCCCCCCGGCGCCACAGCCAATCGGCACGAGGTCGGCCAGGCGCCGCAACCAATCGGAGAGAGACTGGCCTGGCTCCACAGCCCGCGTGCTTTCCCCTTGCCCCGCACCCCCTTCGCGCCGACTCTGCATCCTGGACCCCAAGGGAGGGAGTCTGGGTGCCGCGGGGGGGGTCACACTTCCTTCCCTCGGACTGCATTAGCTCGTCCTCCCGCGGCGCCGGGTGCAGGTAGGGTAGGGATGTGGGGCGCCGGGTGCAGGTAGGGTAGGGATGTGGGGCTCTGAGGGTCAGTCCCTGTGCGGCGTGGATGCCCAATTCTTAGGTTCCAGGGCAGGGAACTGAGGGGATGGCATAGAAGGTGTGTGTGTGTGTGTGTGTGTGTGTGTGTGTGTGTGTGTGTGTAGACCGAGGGGGTAGATGTCTAGGGCGTCCACAGTTCAGCTGAGCAGGCCGAGGGTCCTGGTTCCATCTCCGTATCCCTTAGCTTACCTGAATCTGGCAGAAGCTCCAGCGGCAAGGCCTGGGTGGAAGGAGGCGGCGACCCCGGAGAGGACGCGGCTGGAGTGCAGCAGCGCCATGGTAGGCGGCAAGAGGGCAGTGGGTAGCGGCAGGACAGCTCGGAGGATAAGCGACCGCAGACGCTGGAGCGCGGGCTCCCGGACCGGGTAGGGACAGAGATGTCACTGGGCGAAGCTAGAGCGGCCGCGCGCCAGGCCCTGGACGTGTCACAGCGTCCCCTGGCGGCCGGAGGCGGAGCAGTGCGGCCTCCGCGGACGTCCCGGAAAACTCCGCGTATTGAGGGACCCGCAGCTCTGGACGCAGGCCATAGCCATGGTGCTTTCAGTCAATTGTGCCAGACGGCAGAGGTGGCTACTAGTATAACAATATTTTTTTTGGTACCGGGGCTCGAACTCGGGACCTTTCGCTTGCGAGGCAGGCGGCGGAACCACTGAGCTAAATCCCCGGCCCTAGTATAACAATTTGAAAGGTGGAAATGTAGGCTGACAGGTGGACCCCACTACCCCCGTTTTAAGAGCCATTAAGACCCCCGGTGGCCTGGCTCTTAACTTTTAACAAGCGCCAGACCGTTTCTCTAAGCAAGGCATCTCACCTTCCTAAAAGTGCCTCATCCCTATTAGGGAGAAGACAGCAGGCATATTTTGTGGGCCAGTTTCGAGGATTATCTGAGATTAGCAGATTGTGTCTAAAGACAGCGCCTGATTTAGTAAGTACAAAATAACCCATGGTTGTTAATGACAAACTTGCCTGTGTCACATCCTCATAATTGTGTGGAAGAGAACGAATCATTTTCAAAGAAAAACGAATGAATTTGAGACAAGTCAAAAATCAAACAGGTCCACTCTGAACGTGGGCTATTTCTGATACTTTTCTCTACAACCTAAATAGAACTGTGACCCTGAGGAATTTCTCTTTCCAGTCCAGCCCCAACTTACTGTCTCAACTCATGCTCTATGACTTTGACCTGTGCCTGGGATTCACCACGTTATGGCTTGCTTGGACCAAGTCACAGAGGGCTGGGCATGTAGCTCATGGTAAGCACTTGCCTAGTATTTGCAGACCTTAGATTTATCCCTAGCACCACAAAACAATAAAATAAAACAGCATAAATTTATTCTTTCACACATCTAGAGGCCAGAAGTCCAAAAATAAAGGGGTTGGTGGGGTTCATGCCTTCTGGGGTCTTGGTCTTTTTCTCTTTTGCTTGATCACCTCCTGGCTTCTCACTTGCAATCCTTGACATTTGCTTGTAGATGCATCGCTCTAATCTCTGTCCCTCTCTCTGTCTCTTCAGTATGACACCAGTCATACTGAGTAGGACTGTATCTGAACGGCTTCATTTTCACTGGATTCCCTCTGCCGATTCTATTTCCAAATAAATCACATGATAAGAATGTGGGTGAAACACTTTATAGGAGCAACCTAGTTGCATATCAGTGGGGTAGAGATGTATGTGCTGCGTGCGGTTTTAGTTGCATGATGGAACATTATAAAACTATTCACATGAATAGACTCAATAAATATTAACATGGATAAACTTTAAAAAAAACAAGTTGCAGAGCTATATATAAAATTGGCACTATTTAGATAATTTTTTTTTTGCAGTACTGGGAATTAAACCTAGGGCCTCAACACATACTAGGCAAGTGCTGTACATCTGAGGTACATTCCCAGCCCCTTTAAATTTTACTATAAAAAAAAAGAATTAAAAAAAATTTTTTTGAGACAGGGTCTTGCAAAGTTGAATGTGCAATCTTCCCCAGGTCTTGAATGTGCAATCTTCCTACCTCAGCCTCTTGAGCAGCTGGGCTAACAGGAAAGTGCCACTATGGTAGATAAATATTTAAATTACAAAAACCATACTATATAATCATACATAAGTGTATACAAATGTTTGAAAAATAGCTGCATGTGGTGGCTCCTGCCCATAATCCAGATACTTAGGAGGCTGAGTCAGGAGGATAAAGACCTGCCTGGGCAATTGAGTGAGACCCTGTCTCAAAATAAAAAATAAAAAGACCTGAGGATGTAGCTCTGTGCAAAGGCCCTGGATTCAATTCTCAGTACAAAAAAAAAAAAAAAAGAAGAAAGAAATTATAGGTAGGATTGATATTTATGACCATTTTTGGGTATTTGTTATACTAGACTATACTTTTCTGTGTACATGTATGGGAGCATCTCTCTAGCTCCATATTTGAATGAAAATTAGATTGGAAAGGGAAATCCTAGGGTAGAGAGACTGGGTAGGAAAAAGGTTAATCCAGGCAAGAAATTCTATTTGCCTGAGTTCAGATAGAGGCAGGCAGCAATGATGGATGAGTTTACAGACATAGGACATATCAAGGAGGTAGAATCAAAAATATTTGGTAAGGGCCAGGGATTTAGCTCAGTGGTTTCACCGCCTGCTTCGCAAGTGCAAGGACCGAGTTTGATCCCCGGTACCAAAAAAAAAACATTTGGTAATTAAATGCAAGGAGAGGTAGTAAAGGAGTCAGAATTAATCCCCAGGGTTGTCTGCACATAACAGAGAGCTAAAATAATTGACTTTGACAAAATTTTTCTCACCTAAAGATCTGAAGATAGGTAGTCTTACCTAAAAGACTTACCTAAAAAGTAGTATAAGGGCTGGGGATTTAGCTCAGTGGTTCTACCACCTGCCTCGAAAACGCAAGGTCCTGAGTTCCACCCCGGTACCAAAAAAAAAAAAGTAGTCTAACCTAAAAGTCTTACCTAGAGACAGGACTGGGTGGCATTTGTGACGCTCAGAGCCCCAGGTCCTTCAGCTCTCCACGCTCCCTAAGCTGCAGAAGTCACCCAGAGGCCAAGATGTTGACTGTGCCTTCAGCCATCTCATCTCCATTCCAGGCAGCAGGAGTGCAAAGGTTACACATTATGTGTCAGTCTAGGGAGTCAGAAAAGGAGCAGGCAGGGTGGTAAAGGGCAGGTGAAGGAGACAGTGAGCCCGGAGAGAACACGGCAGGGAGGGCTCCATGCCAACTATGGAAATGAGGAGGCCTTGGTGAGAGAGGTGGCATTTGACTGGAACTTTGCAGGACCTGTGCTGTGCCAGGGGCTGTGGGGCAGAGCCAGACACAGGCCTGGAACTCAGTGTGGAGGGCGAAGAGGTGGTGTGTCTGCCTTCTTGCCTGGTTGGTCTGCCCCTTCTGGCCATTTCCCTTGGTTTTCACTCACCCAGCTCACATCTCCTATCCTACTGTTAATGACTTGCATTGTTGAACCTTGCATTTCACCTTTTGGCCTGGATCTGCCTCTTAACTGAGGTCCTTTAAGCCATTCACCTGGCCCTGTCATCTCAGGCACCTCTGGCAGCCCCTGCCCCAGACTCAATTCCAACAGGTCTACTGTGTATTTTACAGAATGGAGTAGGCACTTTTCAGTTTAAAAGTCTGTTAGTTTTAGTTTTTGCTGCTTTTAATCCTTTAATAATTTAAACAGCTATTTTCAGTGCTGGAGAATGAACCCAGGGCCTCACACACACTAGGCAAGTGCTCTACCCCTGAGCTACCTCCCCAGGCCTTTTATAGCTTTTATTTTGAGACAAGGTCTGGCTAAATTTCCCAGATTCTCTTCACCTCCCAAGTATCCCAGCTTTTAGTCAGTTTTAATGAAACAGTGTGCAGGTTTCTGGGCTGGGCCTTATGCGAAAGCTTTGAGTTAGAGCCTTAGTGCTGCAGGTCCTGCAACTTATTAAACCCTGCGCTTCCTGTTGCTGTGTCTGGAGCTTCCCCAGCCCTCTCTCGTTACCTGCTGGCCCCCAGACAGGCCTGGAGGAACCATTTCCAGAATGAGCTCAGAAAGGGCTGCCCCAGGGCTCTAGGTGGATAAACTTGTATTGGATGTTTTCTTTCTTTCTTTTTGAGAGTGGAAGTGAGAAGCTTCTAATAGTGAGGGGGTCCCGAGTCCTTCCTTCATCATACTTACTGTCATTTGGATTGTTATTTTAAAACTACCCTGACCATGGCTAGAAATTCCGCAGGCATTATGAAAGCCGCCTGCTTACCAGAGGTTAACACAGACAGAGCTCTGTTGGGGAACAAATAACTCCTCTCCACCCAAAGCAAAGCCCCACCCTCCCCTTCCCCCTCCCCCTCAGGCTGTTGCAGTTGTATAGACCGCTGGGAGCTAGGATCCGGAGGTCCTCCAGAGCTCCTTGAGAACAGCGCTTCTCACACTGTGAAGTGCATTGGACTTAACCCAGCACTCTTGTTAAAAGGCAGATTCTGATTCAGAGATCTGAGTGCAGACCACAGTCCTGCGATTCTGAATATCTAACATGTCCTCGAGTAAAGCTATTGCCTCTGGCCAGGGGACTGTAGTTTCAAAAGCACAGATCTGGTCAGCGCCCCACCAGCCATTGGTAGATACCAGACTGAGTCCCAGAGACAGGAAACCCCAGATTTCCCATTGCAGTGTTTGTATGGAAACCTAAGGCCAGAGAAGGAAAGGACTGTCAAGGCCACATAGCATGCTGGGGTTGAGACTAGAAACCAAAGCATAGGCGAAGGACGGATTCCTTTCATCAGTTTCAACACCAAACATCTACGAGGATCCTCTGCTATGTACCCAGCCCTTTGTTTTGGTGGCCTGTCCAGGGATCATCTAGAGGTTTCTGCTCCAGTTCAGGCTATGGGATTGGTTCTGCAGGCCTTTCCCAGGGCTGGAAGACTGAAGGGGAGCGTTCTGCACACTGTGATGGGAGAAAAAGCGAAGATGCTCCGTAGCAGGCTCTAAACGGTGGAATGGCCCTGCAGAGTTGTCTTGGATTGGGAAAGGGTCCTGGGTTTTATATATCTGAAGTGACTCCCTCCTCCAGAAACAACACTTGTTGAGTGTCAACCTGGGCAAGTGGGGTGTTGGGATATTATCTGACAGCGCTGCAGTGTCCACATTGCAAATGTGTGTGTGAGTAGCTGCGCGTGCGGTCTATGGGAGGCACGGATGTGTGCTTGGGGTGACTGTGTTGGAGCGTGGCCCTGCTTTTGTTGCATTTGTGTGCATATGAGAAAGTTAGTGAGTAGTGTGTCTGCAGATGTCTGGTCGTGCGCACATTTGCAGCCCTCAGGTGTGGTGTATGCGTGAGCATTGGGAATGGTGTGTGCCTTGCGGCCTGGTGTTCTTGAAGAAGGTGGAAGATGCTGGGCTGAGCCAGAGGACA